TTCCTAACTCCCAACTACTTGAACTTTTCTGATATTAGCTTGTAAGCATGCAAAATCAGTTCAGTTTTATTGTTCCCAAAGCCCTTGTACATGTAAAGAAAAGCACATACAGAGAAAAAAAGTAAAAGAGATTTAGTTTTAAAGAATTAAGTCTGCATGCCATTTACAGAGCCTTTTTTCATTGTTTTATGCTTGCAACTTTATCAAATTTTCAAAGTTCAGGTTTCCAATAGTTGCTTCTTTATTATACAAAAGTACCAAAGTAGAAAGTCTACTTTCTTACACTGAAGAGTGTAAGTAGTTCTTAATGAACCTGAGATGATTGAAACTTTGTTATGCTAGAACAACATGTTCTGATATTGTTAAATACATTTGATGGAAAATGCACAAGTAGGGAAAAGCATGTTGCATACTATTAGCAATTAGGGAATGAAGAATCTCATTAGTGGAAAGGCCTGTATCATCCTGACCTGCAAAGAGATCCTTGTAGATTCCTAAAAAGGCTTCAGTAATTCCAGGCATTCTTTGCAAAAGTGCCTTAGTAGCTCCTTTTCTTGATGCCTTCCTTGTATCTGCAGACTCTTTAGTATAACAACAGTACCATTCAGCATTTTATGTTGTTCTTAGAAAACTTTTAATTCTTCGAGGACTTATTGTCAGAAAAGAATATATAACAAATTTTCAGAGTCCCAAAAAAATTTAGCAATGGTGGAATTAGAAGCTGCATCAGTTACAATGAAATTCGAGTTTTTTGCCTAGCAGAGAACAAATATTGTCTTTGAGCTACAGCCATTCTTGACACTTGCTTGGAACTTTGAAAGGTGGCCATACATAGTCCTAAATCTGTCTTAAGCTGGTTCATGCATGAAGTTAACATTAAGCTCCAAATGTTTTCATAAGTGTGTTTATCAGTAAATCATAAGAAATTTCTGCACTGCTGCTGTGCAGTTGACAGAATATTTTATAAAGTGTTCAACATTATGTCCACTTTCAGTAACATATCTCAGTGATAAGTAAAATTCGTACACTTTGGCAATATAAATTGTTTTTTGTAAGATTGACCTCTTCAGTTATGACTTTTAAGTTTCCTGTGTGAGAGGTGATATTAACTCATTCTGCATGTAGTGGCTTAGGTATGTTTGCTTTGGGCTAGAGAGCTTCAAATGCTGGCTCAAGAGAGAGTTGTATTTCAACATTAGTTTCAACAATTCCAGAAAATCGACCTCATTAGTGCCTGGAACCCATCATTTAATGTATTCTTTGTGGCCTATAAAGGCCAATCCCTGCTAGGCTAAGAAAAGTGTAGCATCCACAAGTCTTTTAAGTATCTAACAATTCTTCAATGACTTTCACTTGTCCTGAAATTAGAGTGTGGTCCTTTTTAATCTGATAGTTAGTCATAAGAAACATTTTTTCAGCTTTGGAATGCATTAAAAATTATTTTATACTTTTCTATCCTTTCTGTGGCCTTGTGAAAATTTGAAAATCTATGATTAGCATTAGTTCAAGTGTCAGAATAATGTTTACTTTTTCTGTCTGCAAAAAACCAGTGACAAAAGCAATATAAGTGGCCTTATTTTAGCAAGTAAACTAGCCAGTGCTTGTATATGGTACAGGTGCCATTTTCCTTGTGCCTGTAACAAGAAATACTGAATTATCAATGATCATTGTCATAGAGAAAGTCTGAATAGTTGTTTTCAAGGTTAGGGTGGTATGGGCAGTTACTCACCCATACACAGTGGTAATTGGCAGTTCTATATTCTAAAGAGTTCCATATCGAAACATTTCTCATCACAGTCAGAAATATGTATCTGAGTGCATACCACCTATTTTTTCTTTGTCCCCCCCCCCCATCCCACTTTTATGATGCCAGCACCTTTTTTTGCCATTTCCAGCACTGTCCAGACTGGATTAGAGTGCACACTATGGCAAGCATCAGAGGCTGATCTTTAAAGAGGTTAAGAACTGTTTGATTGTTCCTGTATTTTAAATTAAAATACCATGTCTCTCTCATCTGGCATACTTTGTGCAATTTATCCTCACAGTATCAAAAGTTTCTGAGTCATTTGTAGCAGACCATTCATGCATATTCAGTGACGTAGAGACCCATTCAGATGCCACTACAGCTCCACTGGTTGATGCCTCATTTGCAAAGTTATTGCTCATATTAATCCTTTGATCTTCAAGTAGCTTTGACTTTCTTGGGAAGAAGCTTGTAAGAGGAGTAAATGAGGAAACTTCAGTAGTTTTTTTTGCCTCTCTTTCTCTTTACTTTTCAACATCCAGTTTATATTTCTTAACCTTGTTCTTATCCATTGTTATTCATTAGTAGTCATGCAGTCTTCTGTCACAGAGGTAGCACAATAATGAAGTGTGCCAGTCTACAAGTATGTAACATGCTACTAATGTAAACAATAATGCCATTTCTCTCTGAGTGAGGACATTAAGGAGCGATTGTAGTCTGGTGCACAATAAGGTTGACTTTGTACATTGACTTATAATTTATTCTGTTGCTGAAGTTTGTTTTTTACCCTTACTAAGCATATGATGGCAAGATAATTCTAGCATGTGTGTGTGTGTTGTGTTAAGACTCAAGCAAAAGGCCAATTAACCTTCAGACTTGAGGCTTGTGTGGATAACTTTTCCACCTTTGCCTCCTGCTGATTCTGTTACTGCTTCTTTCACTAAGCTTCAAGCCACACACTTTACAATAATGTTGCAGCCTACAAAAATGAAGGAATTTTCTAAATAACACTAAAAAAGATGAATGGCAAAACTTACTTTCACAAATTAAACACCATAACCCTTTGTCATCTAACTTTCAGACTGTACAGTATTTAGATAAAATGTCAATATCACCAATATAACATATTTTGTGATTGATTCAGCCAAATCAAACTAGAGGCAATAAATTGTAATCATTTATCTTATTAAAACACTGCATTGACTAATATTTAATATCATATTAACAGTTTGAATTGATTGCTTTTTGATGGAGTGCAAACATTTTGCAAACATATTTAGGCACATTCATAACATAATATTTTGGGATAATGTGGGACCTATTGGTCCATCTCAGTTGTTCCATCCTCAAAACTAAATGAAAAAAAACAACATTTTAAACCCAGCCCTTTTTCATTCATATACTTATCAAGCTTCTGCTTGAACTCCCTTAAATTTACTGCCTCTACAACATCTGAAGGCAACCCATTCCAAAGGCCAACCACCCTGTTAGAAAAATGAAACTGTCTTATCTGAAGATGACTCATACCTTGCCAAAATTTATATTTGTGTCCCCTAGTCCTACTATTCTCACTGTTAAATATGAAAAAAGATGATGTATCAACACTATCAACTCCCTTTACAATTTTAAATATCTCAATAAGATTCCCCCTAACTCTTCTTTTTTTTCAAGAGAAAACAATTTGAGAGATTTCAGTCTCTCCTCATATGACAACCCCTTCATTCCAGGCACCATTCTATTAACCATTTCCAACAATTCAATGGCTTTCCTAAGGTAAGGAGCCCAAGACCAAACCCAGTATTCCAAGTGTAGCCTAACCAGTAACCTGTACAATGAAATTATAACCTCTTTAGACTTGTATTCAATATTTCTATAGATACAACCTAAAATCCTATTTGCCCTAACACTAGCAACAGCGCACTGCTTGGATGGCTTTAGAGACTGATTGACTATTACATCAAGATCCATTTCCTTCATAACATTATTAAGGTTATTCCCATCCAAATTATATTTATAACTCACATCCATTATCTTGCATTTATTATAAATCAAACCCATTTGCCATTTATTTGCCTAACTCACTAAATGATCTAAATCCTTTTGTAAATCAGCAGCATCCTCTTCACAGCTAGCAACACCCAAGACCTCAATATCATATGCAAATTTTAGTAATTTATTGACTATCCCTTCATCTTTGTCACGGATATAAATCAGAAAAGAGCAAAGGGCCTAAGACTGAGCTCTGAGGTACCTCACTTGTGACATTAATCCAGTCTGACTGAACTCCATTTGTAACAACTCTCTTTTTTCCCACAACCGATGTAAGACTAATGGGTATTTAATTACTGGGACAATTCTTATCACCTCCCTTGAAAAGAGGAGTTACATTAGCTAACTTTCAATCCTCTGATACCTGCCCACTATTCAAGGACTGACAAAAAATAGTAGCAAGTGGCTCACATATCTGATCTTTAACCTCCTTCAAAACCCTTGGGGAAATATTATCTGGCCCAGGAGCCTTATCATTTTTTACTCTTCCCAATTTTTTCTTAACCAGCTCAGAATTAATGCAGTCATCTTGTTTGATCTCGTTTCCATTTATCAACTGATCAAGATGTGGAATACGACCTAAATCTTCATTAGAAAAACTGAAGATAAAGTAAAATTTAATAACCCAGCCATCTCATAATGATCAGGTACTAGCCTTCCTTTATCATCCCTCAAGGGTCCTACCCCCATCCTAACATTTTGTTTACCCTTAATGTATTTAAAGAAATCCTTACTGTTAATTTTTGCATTTTCAGCCAACTTTTTCTCATACATCCTTTTTTATGTCCTAATATAACTTTAACTTTAGAGGCATAAAAATTTTGATTTAAATGATTTTAACTTTTATAAATAACATATGTGTTAATCATATTTGTTGTGCATTTCACTAAGAAATATTTCCTGATCTGTTAGCCCAGAAAAGTTGCAATTTGAAAAGATATAATCTCACTTTAGGTAATAAAACCAATCCTATTACCACTTAGTTCAGCAATTCACTTTCATCAGCCAATCTAGATTAAGACTCAGATTGTCACCAAATGGAACTTGATATGGTTTTAGTTGTGGAAAATAGCTGAAAAGTATACCAAAGAAAGGGCTATAATTTAAAAAGTATTAGACAATAGAATTATAACTTGTTCACTACTTCAGATGTTGAGCTACTGTGATAATAATTAGAATATTTTGACAATCTGGGAATGGAAATATATTTGTTTGGTATCAGGATTTTATTGAGATAAACTTATTGTGAATATCTAATTACAAAGGAGCTAAATTTATGTTGTTTAAAAAGACGATGCATAATACTATTAATTATTTTAATCATCTTAAGCTTAAATCTCACTCAGATTTCCTCTTTCTCTTCAACTTTTGAGGGAAAATTTCAGAAATCTTAACCTCTCCTTGTTTGACAACATTTCCATTCCAAGTATAATCCTAGTAACCCTCCTTTGAACCAATTCAAACAATTCAATGTTCTTCTTGAGGTAAGAAGCCCAAGACTGGGCACAATAGTCCAAATGAAGCCTAACCAGGACCTATATAATGAAAGTAAAACGTCTGTAAAGTTGCATGTATATTCAGTATTTCTGTAAGTACAAAATATATTCCTATTTGCCTTAACACAGACAACAGCAAACTGCTTGGATGGCTTAAGAAACTGATAAAACAAAACACCAACATCCATTGTTTTTCCATAATGCTGTTAAGGTTACTCCATTCAAATTTATTCTTATAATTTAAATCTTACATTTATTGTAATTAAAAGACATTGCAATTTATTGGTCCAAATTACCAGATAAGCTAAATCCTTTTGTAAAGTAACATCCTCATCACAGTTAGCAACACCCAAGACTTTGATACCATAAGCAATGTATTGACCATTCCTTCATCAAGAAGGTATAGAATTTACTAAAAAATAACACATTTCCACTACTTCATCTGGGTTGATGCTCATTCAGAGCTAATGTTATACCTGACTAAAAATGTAAAAAACCTTCAGTAACATTATTTTAAAAAACTGTTCATAACATATGTGACTGTACAGGAACAGCAACATATATTTTAAATGACTGCCTTCATCTACCTAAAGTACAATAATATATACTTTTAAGTTTATGTATCTAGTTTTTTTCTGCAACTATAGTCTAATAGAATGTAAAATAAAATTTTTGATAATAAAATAAAGTCAATGATGAGGTCATTCTTATCAGCACTGCAAAAGACAGTATCCTCCTTTCCCAATCATCTCTTAAGAAATACCATAGTTTTAAACATTTTAAGCAGTGTGACATATCATAAAGTTTACATTTTCTTTAACTGAAAATGTATTTCCTATAGATACTTACCTCCTCTCACAAAAAGGTTTCTCAACTTATACTGCTCTTTATCAGTGTAAATATTTGCTCGCGTCTAGCCTTGATATTCCCACTTACCCTCACTTATGTTAATGTAAGATATATGCATACTAACATGCAAATGATTATGCAGCATCTCTCCACCAGTAGGAGTGTGACAGTACCCTTATCATAACTAGCACTCTCTCTCTAATCTTGCAGCTGTTAATCACTTTGAGATTGATCAGATCACACCAAACCACACCGGAAGTGGAGAGGATGGGTGGGAAATATGAGAAGAGGTAAATATCTATCTGAAATACATTTTCAGTTTAAGAAAATGTTAACTTCCGATATGATATCTTACCTCCACTCACAAAAAGCTATAATCCCACATTTAACAGGTGGAGGGCCGGTGAGATGATCCCCCTTTAGGAAACAATGGGGTGTGAGAAGGAACTAAAAACAACATACCTGTGGAAGACTGCACCACTTCTGAGCCAGGTATACTCTTCATCCTTTAGTAATGTGTCCCCAAAAGGGCAGAAACAAAGGAGGGACCCCAAGAAAAGTTACAGAAAGAATGGGACCCCTTGGTGTAGAGTGGCTAGGGTACAACAGACCATAAAGGGGAGTTTGACCTCAACCAACACCTGGTTGCATCTGGAATTGTACATCAGTTCCGCAGTAGGAAGAGGGTCCTCTACCTTTCACCTCAAGAAAGGGTACCAACAGGGAAGACAAGGTTCTGTACCAAGAACCTGCCTCTGCAGGCACATACCTCCAACACCAGATCCATAGGGAACTGACATCAGGCAGACGGTAGGAAGATGAAGGGCCCAGGTGGGTGTACATTTTCAGTCCAATACCTGGGGGCATTGCAAATTTTTCGTTCAGTCCAAGGTAGGAGGAGTGTAACCATCCAAACACAGTGTTCTAGTGGACTATCCCAAGGAGCCACAAAAAGTGCAGTAAAGCTCAATGAACAGCTAGAAGTTCCAAGAGATTGATATGGAGAGAGGATTTAGAAAGAGTCTATCCCTTCAAAACCTTCTAAGTGTTGAGTTATGCCCTCCAGCCAGAAAGAGGAGCATCCATAGAAAGGTGACATTCCAGACGAGGAGGGGGAAGAGGAACACCCACGATAGTATTGTTCTGATCCAACTACCAGACAAAGTCAGTCTGTAATGGAGGGGGGAGGGTAAGAGGAGTATCTATGGGATCCCCAAAACAAGGTACTATTGATCTAGCAAAACCCACTGAATATGATGCATCTGGGCATGACCAAGAGGAATGAAGGCTTCTAGAGAAGCCCACATCTTCTAAAGAGAGAGAACCTCTCACACAGTAGAAGGTTGGACGAGATGCTGCATATGAGATGTTCCATAGCTCCCAACCAAAGTGGAGAAGGTTAGGGCCAACTGAGGAGGGAGTTGAAAAACACTCCACGATGAACCAAATATTGTGTGGGAGTGAGGAAAGTCTTCTCCACATTGACAAGCCAATCCACCCTGGTTGCTTCCTGGAGAAGAAACTGAGTATAAAGGACTAAGTTGGCGTGTGAGGAAGCAAAATGCAACCAGTCATTCATATAATGGTGGAAAGGCCCCTGAAATGAAGCAGACAGGCAAAATCCTGGACCACTCGAAAGAACACAGGTAGCCAAGGCAAGTCCGAATGGGAGTGCCAGAAATTGAAACATATACCCATGATGAACAAAGCATAGATACCGTCTGGTTGCAGGAGAGATGGGGATATGGAGATATGCATCAAACACATTGACCTTTGTCATCTACAAATCTGGAGTGAAAACCCAATGAAGAGCTAAGTATGACTCATTGGTGAACTTGGGAATGACTAAGAAGCAGTTCAGAGACAATAACTCGATGACTGGGAGTCAATACTCCATCTTTTTGGGAACAACAAACATAAGAGACTAACATTCCGGACAAGAAGGATCTCCTCATTTGATGCCACCTTTGTGTAGTAAGCCCCAAACTGCCTCCAAAAGAAACGGGATCCCGAGGAGGAGGGAAGGAAAAGGGATTGTGAGACAATGGGGGAAGGGAGATTAATGAAAGTCGAGGGCCAGATCTTCAAAAACGACTTTTAGAACTCATGGATCGACTGCAAAGGACCTCCAAACGTGGGCAAATTGAAGGAGTCTGGCCTGCACTGACCCTGACCTGAGAACATAAAAGGTGCCATGCACAAGTAACACAGTGATAAAGGAGATAAACAAACCCTAAATAAATTGGCACTCAAACCTAGAAAATCCCAACAGCAGAGCAGCCACGTCTGTAATGCCAGTGCCGAAAAAAGAAAGCCATGCAATGGTAGCGAAAAGGTGACTCCAAGTATCACTGGAAAAACCCTCAGGGGAACAATGAACATCCTCAGACAATGGGTGAAGGGAGGCTAAGGAATGGAAAAGGGTGATGAGAGTAAGATGAATACAGGAAAACTAAGGTTGGGAAAAGTTAATCGGAGTCCAATCTCCACAAGGGGATAAGTGACTCCAGTCACTGCGAGTCCAAATAAGGGAAGTTGGAACGATGATATGGAAAAGCATGATCGTCCATAGTACATGAGGTCGAGGCACACTGACCCTCAAATGCAATTTCCAAACGACTTGTATGAACCCCAATATCTGGGGAAGGAAGAAACACTAAATAATGACCCAAAGGCTCGTCCCCGAGAAGGACAGGGGTGGAACCATAGGAAACAGGAGGTAAGTTCAAAACATAACATACTTGATCAATCAGTCCCACAAAAGTGGAAGGAGGTCTGAGCTATTCTCCCTAAAAGACATGCGACTGAGAGGCATATTCAAGAGAGGGGGGAAAGGCTGTCCATATCCCCTTCGTCCCAATCACTTAAACCCTGAGCAGGTATGATAGGACAATCACCAGTTTGTTTTGTTGTTGCATGAAACTGGTCAATTTCCGATGGACGAGAGACGTCACTGCATGGGCCGATAATCGTGGTTCCGAGTGGAAGTGGTCGATAAATCCGCTACAGCAGTTGCAGTCATAACCACCTGAAAGTGCGAGTGCGTAACTCCCGAAATTGAAAGAGAAGAGAAATAAAAATAATTCTCAACTCTCCAAAAAAACAGAACGAAAACAGTATTTAACAATATAACTGAAGTAGAAAAATGAAGAAAGTAAAAACTCTTGGTTATGTTAATCAAACCGCAAGAGAAAACACGTCTACCCAATAAAGACGGCCAATCGAAAAGATTAGAGAGGTGTGCTAGTTACGATAGGAGTAGTGTCGCACTCCTATTGGTGGAGGGTTGCTGCATAATTATTTACATGTGAGTATGCAGATATCTCACGTTAACATATCGTATTCTTCGGTGTATAAGACGCACTTTTTTACCCAAAAATTAGATGTCAAAATCTGCTTGCGTTCTATACACCGAAGGT